GGCCTTTTTGTAAATAGCTGGGAGGTAAATGAACAAACAAAAGGAAGTGGGCCTACTGTTTCTACACTGTCATGCTGACTTTCTAAGACACTGAAGCTGGGCCCGGCGAGATAGCCTAGCAATTAGTCCTCGCCTTGAACATGCCAGGATCCCCTATGGGCACCGGTTCTAATCCTGGCAGCCCCGCTTCCCACCCAGTTCCCTGCTTTTGGCCTGGGAAATCAGTCAGGAACAGCCCAAAGCTTGGGACCCTGCACCCACGTGGGAGACCCGAAAGAAGCTCCTGGCTCCTGGCTTCGGATTGGCTCAGCTCCAGCCATTGCAGCCTCTTGAAGAGTGAACCATCAGACGGAAGATCTTCCCCTCTCTCTTCTTCTCTGTATATCTGCCTTTCCAATAAAAATAAATAAAATCTTAAACAAAACAAAACAAAAAGACACTGAAGCTGTTGTAATTGATCACTGTTACCCAAACCATCAGCCCAGCCCTTCAGAGATAAGAAATCTGTGCTTGGGCTGGTACACACTTGGAGAAAGAATACTGTAGAGGAAGGCAGGAGGCGCCACGAAGACGGGGGGAGTCCACAGAGGCTTCCTGGAGGAGGAGGGCCTTGAGCTGGGTGTGTTTTTGTAGGGGTGCTCCGGGAAGGTGGCCCCCAATGCTGGAGCTGAAGTGTCGCAGCAGCAAAAGAAGGGTTAGAGTTGGTCAGAGCTTCTGGTGGGCTCGGTGGAAACCTGAGCTTGGCACCATGCACCCTTAATACCCATCTCTTCCACTTCTAAGCTGGGACCAACCTAAGTGGCTAGAGAAGATGGTACTTCTCCCAGAGTCATGCCAAGTGCCAAGTTTGGGGAGGCACAGATGATTTAGAGAGAACTGGGGCACACCAGGCTCCCCCACAGCCTGCACAGATCTCCTTCCTGAGATCTCAAAGGGGGAGTAGGGAGCTGGGAGGGGGGAGGACCATGGAGCAGAGAACACCAGAGGCCTGGGGCTCTCCTGGCTTCAGAGGGGCTGAAGCCCACCTCACAGGGCCTCCTTCCTAAGAAGGAACTCAGCCCTCTTTCCAGACAGCTTGTTGGCAGCTCCTCTGCCCGCTGTGCTGCAGGACCCAAGGTCAAGCCCCATCTCCCATCTACACAAATGCCCACTGGGTGTGTGCAGGCAGCACCCCTGAAGCAGACTGGCCATCTGGGGGTATAGTAGCTCATTCTAGAAGAGGTGTGGCTATAGGCAACCTTTCTTGGCATAGAGGGTTTGGGGTGTTGCCAGGAAGAAGTCACTCTGCATCACAGGAGCTGCAGTACAGGCCCAGAAGGGGAAGGAACAGGAAACTAGTTCAGACAAGGCACTTGATTTGGCTAGGATATGCTTTCATGGTGCAAAGGGGATTCAGGTCCAGAGAGGGGCGGGGTCAGGGAAGGGGCAGCCCAGTCTCCTGAAGCTTGGACACTACCATGCTGTCATTTGGAGCTCCCTCAAGGGATCATATGCCCAGGCTGGGCAGTGCAAGCAGGCACACACTCTCTTGGGTCCTCACTGATTCCTGCCTAGCTTCTGAGGTGAGCCCCTCTGGAACCACTTACCACCCACAGAACACACTAGCATGGAAAAGTCCCAGTCTGGGGGGCCGGCACTATGGCACACAAGTTAAGTCACCACCTCTAACGTTGGCATTTCATATGAGCACCTGTTCAAGTCCCAGCTACTCTACTTCAGACCCAGCATCCTGGTAAAGCACCAAGGAAAGCAGTGGAAATGGCTCAAGGGCTTGGGCACCTGCCGCCTACCTGGGAGACCTGGAAGAAGGGAAGAAGCTCTAGGCTCCTAGCTTCAGCCTGGCCCAGTCCCAGCCACTGCAGCCATTTAGGAAGTAAACTAGCAAATGGAAAACCTTTCTCTATGTCTCTCTCTCTCTCTCTCTAAACCTGCCTTTCAAAAAGAAAACTTTAAAAAATAAAGAAAAATGCTATATAGGTATGCAATGCTGTTAGGGTCCTGTGTCTTCACAGAAGGCAAGACTAACCCAAGGTCACACAGCAAATACCTATAAAGCCAGGGTGTTCTTCTACAAGGCCTTGTCCCCTGAGCACAGCCTCTCCAGCCCAGCCTGAGGGAAGGGAGAGGAGGGCAGGGGTGTTTGGGATCTGGGCCGTCTCTGCCTTGTCCCCATGCTCCCACCTGCCCTCCATTCCACAGACACCCAGGGGTTCTGCAAATGAGACAAGAAGATGTGAAGTCCCTTCACCACAGGTCACTTGTCCCTCCTACAGTGCAGGACTCTGAGCTTTTCACTCTTCATCGGATAAAGTCCTGCCCATCCTGTGAAACCCAGCTCCAAGGTACAGAAAACGACCATGTGCAGAGCCACAGAGGAAGTCACATGGAATTCCAAAAAATCCTCCTGACCATAGACTCTGACCACAGCATAACATAATTAGAAGGCCTCAAGAAAAACATAAAGTCTCATAGGCTGAGAAACTGAAAAGCACACTTCCAAATCATCGAGGAGCTTAAGAGGAAACGACAACGAATGTGTGAACTGTTTGGAACTGAACGATAAGGAAAGTGAATGCAGTTTCAAAGTCATTTCCCGTCTGAAGTCAGCACTGACCCCACGTTATTCCTCTACATGACTCCTCTCCAGCACCTCCCACCCCACTCTGTGCCCCAGGACATTGTTCACTCTACAGAAAGTTCTGCCAGTGGCTTCTGATAGGATTTAGTTAATGGGGAAAGTTAGCCAGAAATGAGAACGAGGAAGAGACAAAGGCAAAGGGAGACAAAAGGAGGGACAGTCCCTTAATTGGCCCCATCCTTCCCTGTGTATGTATGTGCTCTGCAGACGCCTCTTGCGCTTTGGTCTCAACACTTGTCCATAGCCCCCTCCTCTAACTCCCATTCCTACCGCACCTTGCCCTCAGCACTCAGCCTGCTGTTGACAACCACCCCCTGCTCCTGCTAGCCCTTTGCTCACACACTCTCCGTGTGATTTCTAGATGGCCTGACTACACCTGTAAGTAGTCAACTTGATGAAACTCCTGAAATACTCAGTGTGGGTGCTCCATGCACTTCCTGCAGATACTCCTTCTTCCCACGGCTTAGCCATCAGTTCATCAGCAGGTCCTCACTCCTGCTTGTGGCCTGGGAAAGCAGTCCAGGACTGAAAAAAAAATACTGTCTCTGTGCTGCTGCCAGCGCCCGAAGTCAGTAAACAGACTGGCTTCAGCACCCAACCCCCTCATCTCAGGGTGCAGAGACATGTTCAGCATTGAGCAGGAGGCCACACTGAACAAAAGCCGAATGGCATCCCGCCGTGGACAATTGTGCACACTTCAAACACACAGAACTTTGGGGCAAAAAAGGTTCTCAACCAAAGAGTGGATCTTCAGCTCTGTGAGCTGGGGTTCTAAGAGCAGTGTGTTTTCATGCCGGGAAGCACACAGAAGGTTCCCAAGCAGAGTCCACTGGAATACCTGGACACCATTAAGAGTCCCTACAGCTGTCCCCTGCAGAAACCTATTCCCCTGCTACCCCTGCAGGACAATGTCCACAGTCCAGCTGTACACCTTGACCTTCCTTATCTAGCAGCCCTCCCCACCTCCTCCGAGCTCAGAGCAGGTCAACTCTCCGTGCACTTGGGCTCACACATAGCATGCACCAAGCACTGATAGGGATGTGTCTACTCCCAGGGAAGGAACCCAGGTAGAAAGAAAAGAAAGAAAGAAAAACAAATAAAGAGCAAATTACAACTTGAAGTGTTTGTATTTGACTATCAGGAGAGAAAAAGGTTATTCCAGGCCCGTTCTGATACCCTAGTGGCTAAAGTCCTCGCCTTGCATGTGCTGGGATCCCATATGGGTGCTGATTCACATCACAGCAGCCCCACTTCCCATCCAGCTCCCTGCTTGTGGCCTGGGAAAGCAGTTGAGGACAGCCCAAAGCTTTGGGAGCCTGCACCTGTGTGGGAGACCTGGAGAAAGTTCCTGGCTCCTGGCTTCGGATCGCCTCAGCTCTGGCCATTGTGGCCACTTAGGGAGTAAACCAGCAAATGGAAGATCTTTCTTTCTCTCCTTCTCTCTGTAAATCTGACTTTCCAATAAAAATAAAGGAAATCTTAAAAAAAAAAAAAAAGGCGCTAATCCAAACTGAGAAGAGCTCTAGGAAAGGAATGATGGGGTGAAGACAGGAGTTGACCAAGCCCCATCCAGGCATCACAACCCTGCCACGGAAGGGGAGATCTGACTTGAGCACTTTTAGGTCAGTCCTGACAAAGTTCGGAGGCATTGCTCCGGCTTCCCTTGGCAGGCATGTCCTCATTCAGGAGCGTTCCGGCTGCCTGCTGTGTGTTGGGCCTGTGAGAGAGGTCAAGGAGGCAGGTTTTTGGTGCGGCGGTTAGGATGTCACGCACGATGCCTACCTTCCCTATGGGAGCCCTGGCTCCTCTGCTTTCAAGCCAGCTTCGTGCTAATGCATTTCCTGGGAGTTAACAGCTGTTGCCTCAGATAGCTCGGTTCCTGCTAGCTGCCACGGGAGAAACCCAGACTGAATTCCTGGCTCCTGGCTTCTACCCGGCCCTGCCCTGACTGCAGCAGGCAGCAGGGGAGTGAGCAAAGGATTGGAGGATCTCTGTCTCAACCTTTCAAATAAAACGAAAATAAATACATGAAGAGTGTGTCGGGGTTCGAGGGTGAGGAGAGATCTATCTTTTACTGAGTTCCGGGGCAAATTGCCCCGGGGAACCACCATTTATCTAGCAGACAGAAACCACCGTATCCCCATTCTACAGCCTAGGAAGGCGAGGCCGCGTGCATCCTTGGCGGAAGAGGTCCCAGGAGACGCGGAGGGGGTCGCCTGCGCCTTCAGTCCTGCGCCAGACGGGAAGTTGGGCGCCCGATATGGACTTCCCGGAAAGGCACGAGTGCGTCTTCATATTGGGGTGGAGGGAGTTCCCATTTCCCCGCCCCCAGGCCGCGGCGTGGCTGGGCCGGGGGCGGAGCTGGTGGCGGAGGGCGGCCTCGGGCCGGCAGGGTGGACAGGCGTGGACTAGCGAGCGAGCTGGCCCGGAGGGAGGACCGGCCAGAAGGGAGAGCGACTCGGTGCGCTGGGCTGTGACCGCGCGCGGCCTGGCCGGGCGGACCTCGTGGCTGAGCGCCCGCGCCCTCGCGCGCGCACACACGGCCCGGCCCCCGCTTCCACTTTCATTTCGTCGGCTGTCCCTGTCCCGGCCTGTCACTGCCCGGAGGCGACTCGGCCCGAAGACAAGCTGGCCACAGCCCTCGGCCCGGGCTGGGGTCCGAGGCTCCGAGCTGCGGAAGTCGGAGGTGGGGGTGGCAGAGCGGCGGAGGGGGGCGTGTCTTCGGGAGCGGAAACGTCAGGCTGGCGCCCGGGGGTCCCGCGACCCTGCTGGCCCCGACAGCTGGCCGAGGGTCGGACGCGGAGGGGCCGGGCGGGCGTAGGCTGTGCGCGCCGCGGGGAGGGCGTGGAGTTTGCGCTGCTTCGACTTTTCTCTGCGATCCCGATCCAGCGGGGTCCCTGGGGGCCAGAGTCAGGAAAGGGTGGGTGTGGCTGGGCAGGCCGCTGTCATAAACAGTCAAGGGGCACCTGTGCCCCGCGTCTGCCAAGTCCACCCGCTGCCTGAGAAATAAAAGGATATCCAGCATCAGGAAATGGAGTGGGGGCGGGGCCGGGAGTGGGGGAATGGCTCAGGGAGGGGCCGAGGTTCTGAGAGAGATAAACTCTGGGAGGCTGGGGCACTGAAGAAAGGATATCTGCCCTGGCCCAGCCTCCAAGCCTCCACTGCCCGGGGACGAGGAGGAGGCGGGAACCCAGGCCTAGTTCTACAGCAGGAAGTGGGGTCCAGGACCCCCAAGTTGGGGCAGAGGTCTGTGTTGCGCGTTAGGGGAGCAGTTGCTCTGCCTGGTGGGGAAGATGGGAACCCCCACCTCTTCTTCCAGGCCTCCCCTGCCCCCCAGGCACCCGCAAGTGCCAGGAAAGTGGTCCTTCACTCTGCAATGGGCTGAGCCCCGCCCCCCGCAGGTCCCAGGCCTGCCCGTGATTTGCTGTGTGCACACAGGCTCCTCTCTGGGCTCAGTTTCCTCACCTGTTTCAACTTGGATCTCAGCTCAGCTTAGGACTTTGCGCCAGGCCCTGGCCCAAGCCAGAGATCACCGATGGCCAAAGAGTGGCCTCAGGTCCAGAGGAGGAGAACTGGGCTCAGTGGAGGAGGCTGCGGAAGCAGGGAGCTTCTTCCTGACCATGCTGTGTGGCGAGGTGCAGGGAGCAGCAGCAGAAACCACAGGCCAGGGCTGGGGGGAAGTTAGCCCAGCGTGGATGGTGCAGAGGGGCATGTAAACAGGTCAGGTGAGGTGTGTGGTGTGCCAGGGAGCCCAGAAAGCCCATAACTGTAGCTGGAATGACTGTTAGAGAAGCCTTGAGCTCAAGCAGTATTTAGAGCTCAGAGAGCAAATGGGCAGACACCTCCTGTTCTCCCATCAGGGGGCTCATATTGCACCCTGGGCACTTCCTTGGGTGAGAAGTTGAGGGGTGGCAGTGGCCGAGGTGACCTCCGACATCTGAGATTTTTTTCCAAGAGGCCGGGATTCCTGTCCCTGCTGTCCACACTGCTCTCCTTTCACCGGCACTGTCCTCGCCTGCCTAGTGTGGATATAAGGATGGACCCGTGTTCCAACATCTGGACCACTAGCTTGAGTTGTTGCTAGAAGAAATAGTCTCCCCACCCTAAGTGCCATGTGTTTGGTTATACCCACTCCTCAGCTTGGTCCCAGCCTCCCTTTCCCAGTCCTGTCCCTGTGTTACTGCAGATTTAAGAAAGGAGATTGCTCCAGTGTTAGCCATTCCATCTAAGGTCAGGCCCAAATGTTTACTACTCAAGCCCAGCGTAGGGCTGAGGGCTGGAGTCAGGGCTCAGCCTGTCCAGGATCAGGGTCAAGTGAGACAGCTTGAAGCCCAAGCCCGGTGCTGAGCTCATATTCAGTGTTAGTGCTTGGTCTGGGGTCAGGGTCATTGCTCAGTGTGTGGCTGAACCTGGGTCTCAGCGGGTACCTGCATTTGCAGTTGTCAGCTCATACACTCACAGTGGAGACGACCAGCTACGCTGAGAAGCAGAAAAGCGCAGTTAAATCCGAGCAACCCAGGATTTGCTCTAGGGGTCACACAGCAAACCAGTACTGAATCTGGAACAAGGACCCAGGACCCCTGCCGATGAGCCCTATGCTCTGATGGCTGCTCCCCAAAGCTTGGTTGGAACCTGGAATCCTTCAGCTTTGAGAGGCAAAGCAGATACATCTGAGGTCTGGAGGGGCGCAGCTGGGCAGATCTGACTGTGTTCTCCCGCTTCCTGGTGACAGGCACATACTAGGGGAATGGGGAATGTCTACTAAGCAAGTGGCAGGTGCAGGGGGAGGGGTCAGTGGTTGTTCAGGCATAAGGGGAAGGCTCCCCAGCCACTGTCAGAGGAAGCAGAGCTCTAAGCCTGCGTGCACGCACACACACACACACACACACACCAGTTCCTGCAAACACATTCAGAGGCCACCCAGCTGGCCATGTGAGGGCCCTTTCCTCTTTCAGGGTAAAGAAAAAAAAAAAAAGAAAGGAAAGGACAATTTTGGTAGAAAAGTCCCTCTGCTCCCTGGGAATCCCCGGTGGCCGGATGGACGACGGGATGTCCCAGAGGAAGCCAAAGGCTAGGGTCCCGCCCCCACTCCTGCCTTCAGTACAATGCGACCAAGCTCTCCCACGCTGCACCTGCTGGGCCATGAAGTTCCCAGAGGTCATCTTGTCGGGGCACCACCTCCTGGTGAGCCATAAAGGAGTCTGTGCCACTGCTCCTATGGTCAGCAGCAAGGCCCTTGGGGACCTATTTAGAGCCATCTGAGACACAATGAATTCGGAGGGAAAGCAAGATGGGAGAATTGCAGGTGCTTAGCAAGGAGGGCCAACGTCAGGGGAGAAGGGGACAGGATGCCAGACCTAGGGGATGAGGCTGTAGATTCCAGCTTCCAAGGACGCAGGGCTGAGCCCCAGGCTGAGCCAGGAGAGGAGCAGGATATCTTTTGAAGTCAGGCCCTGACCACTTACCCCGCTTGTTGTCAGCAGGGCATCCTGAGGGTCCTGCCCCTGAACACCCAGTCTGGCCATGGCGCTGTGCCTGAAACAAGTGTTTGCCAAAGACAAGACATTCCGGCCGCGCAAGCGCTTTGAGCCAGGCACCCAACGCTTTGAGCTTTACAAAAAGGCACAGGCTTCGCTGAAGTCGGGCCTGGACCTGCGCAGTGTGGTGCGGCTGCCTCCCGGCGAGAATATCGATGACTGGATCGCGGTGCACGTGGTGGACTTCTTTAACCGCATCAACCTCATCTACGGCACCATGGCCGAGCGCTGCAGCGAGACCAGCTGCCCAGTCATGGCTGGCGGACCCCGCTATGAATACCGCTGGCAGGATGAGCGCCAGTACCGGCGGCCGGCCAAGCTCTCTGCGCCGCGCTACATGGCTTTGCTCATGGACTGGATTGAGGCTCTAATCAATGATGAGGACGTCTTTCCCACGCGTGTCGGTGAGCGCCACCTGGCGGGAGAGTCGGGTCTGACAGGGCGGGGAGGGTGCCCACCTGAGCCAGTGGGCAGATGGGTGTGCAGCTTGCTATGGCAGCTATGTGGAAGCTGCCAGAGTCCTCATCTTGCTTTGGAAGAAGAGGAAGTTAAGTTGATCAGGTGTCTGGCTCAAGGCCAAGCAGTTGATCCGCACTACTTGACTCCCAGTTGGAGCTCAGGCCTCAAGGCTTCAAATTCCCAGTAAGAACCAATTCTCAGAATATTCCAGAACAGATGCTCCTTCCCTCCAGGGGGTTGTGGCAAGACACCCCTCCTCCCCCCTGTTCTTGGGCTAATCTGGCTTCCACCCTCTTGGGCATGCCTTGTGACTTCTGGCTGCAGAAAAGGGACTGGACTAGTGGCTTGAGGGACTCTAAGCGATCGCTTCATCTCAGACTGGAGAAATTAGGACGGAAATTTCCCTTGTCAGGCCCCTGGCCAGAGGCCTTTCCTTATCTCAGCTAGGCAGCTGGGCGGGTGAGGGTGGGGAGGGGAGGCGGGTGATGTCACCAGGAGAGGTGTGTTGGTCAAGAAGCTGGGTAGTCAGCTGCAGCCCCACCTGTACCCGAGGCCCTAGCCCCCACCCAACCTCGTGCTGTAGTCAGAGGTAGGTGGGGCTCAGTGGTCAGGCCCCAAAGGGAAGAGTCTGAAGCTGAGGGAGGCTGGGCACTGAGTCACAATTCCACATCCATGGCTCCTACCCAGCAGGGGGCCTGCCCTCTCCTGTACCACCCAAGTACCTTTGTTTTGCAAAGGAGAAAACTGAGGCCAAGGGGTGTGGAGGGTGGGGTGGAGCTGGAGCTCAGCACTCGTAGGTCCCAGGACCCAAAATCAAGGTGGGCAGAGTTAAGTTTGGGAGTTTGAGCTGAACAGTGAGGAGTGAGGTGGGCCAGGGTGCACCTGACTTCAGACTGTCCTCTGGACCCTTACTCACTCATAGCCTTATCTCCCTGGACCTGTGAGATCTCAGCTGACAAAAGGACCTTCAGCCACTAAGAGCTCTGCCTTGAGCATGGCGGGGGGTGGACGGGAGAGAGAGTTGGCTGTACATAATTGTGCCTTTTCCATAGGTAGCAGATCTTCCCTGGGGCGTGGTCTGGGTCATGTGTATCCCCAAGGGCACTGCAGAATAGTGCAAGGAAGGTTTGAGTCTTGCTTCCAGTCTGTGCTGATTAATAGTTACATGGCTTGGGGCACATGATTTCAACTGTACAGATCTCTGTCCTATCTAGAATGCTTATCAGCCCCATTAGCAGAGTTGCATGTAAGGACTAGTGATAAAGGTGCAAAGGGCCAATTACAGGTTCAGTGTGTGTGTGTGTGTGTGTGTGTGTGTGTGTGTGTGTGTGTGTGTTGCAAATTTATTTATTTGAAAGGTAGAGTGAGAGAGCGAGCTAGGAGACAGATATCTTGCTTCTATCAATTCACTCCCTAAATGGCCATAGTAGTTGGGGGCTTTCCAGAACAAAGCCGGTAGCCAGGAACTTAGTCTAGATTTCCCACTTGGGTACCAGGGGCCCAAGGGTTGGGGACATCTCCCACTGTTTTATCAGGCATGTTAACAGGGAGCTGGATCTCAAGTGGAGCAGGTAGGACTTGGACCAGCACCCGTTTGAGATGCCAGTGTCACAGGCTTGACCCACTGTATATATATCTAGGGAGATTTGAAGCCATAACTTTCATCATAGTCTAAGAAGGATTAGCTGTTGACACTGAGCAAGATTAAAATGGCCAGCTGTAGGTCACGAAGACATATTAAAATGATCTCTATTTTAGCTGGGGAGAGGGGCCAATCAGATTTGTACTTTATTAAAAACTGAAATATGGGAGGGCACAAAAGCTGCCCTGGGGGAGGACAGGTATTGGCAGAGTTTTTTAGCAGGATGCTGATTGGTTCCCATCTTGTCTGTCCCTCCTGGACCCCTAGGTGTTCCCTTCCCCAAGAACTTCCAGCAGGTCTGCACCAAGATTCTGACCCGCCTCTTCCGTGTCTTTGTCCATGTCTACATTCACCACTTTGACAGCATCCTCAGCATGGGGGCGGAGGCCCACGTGAACACCTGCTACAAGCACTTCTACTACTTCATCCGTGAGTTCAGCCTGGTGGACCAGCGGGAGCTGGAGCCGCTGGTGAGCTCAAAACCCCACCACCCTCCCCATCAAGGCTAGCTTCTGGGAGTTTTCAGGTTCAAAGGCTGCTTTAAGGAACTTCAAATAGATCAGTTAGGGAAAGTCCATGTATTTCTCAGAGAATTCATTTCATGTCATTGACAAGCCCAGATCTGCAGCCTGGAGATAGGGCTGGGAAGGAGCCAGATTCAGGTGGAAGTGCAGCTGGGGCCTACGATTTGGAGGGGGCTGCCTGGCAGGCTGGGCTGACTACCCCCTCCCTATCTTCTGTCTCTACAGCGGGAGATGACTGAGAGGATCTGTCATTGAGCCGGGCCTGGACATGTGCCCATCAGATGGACGTCTGAACGCAGACTGGTGGGGGAGGGGACACCCGGGAGTCTGGCGGCAGAGGAGTCAGAAGGCCTGGGGTCCTCCATGAGGCCAAAGCCCCTGGACTTCTGGAGGTCAGAGTCTGCCCACATATCCCCCTGACTGTGACTGAGGAAGGTGGGCAAAGAGAGAAAAGGAGACACTAAGCCTCTGGCATGAAATTGGGGAGTAGGGTTGGCCGGAGGATTTCTTGCCACATACTTGGCCCTTCCATGGTGCTTCCCATGGGGAACCATGCATGTGGCTGAAGTGATGGCAAGAAAGTGCAAGAGAGCAAGCAACCTGGGTGTGAGTGTATGAGAGATTTTAATGATGGGGTCTAACTGAGAGGTAACTGCTTTTTGACCCACCCTGGTACATAGTGGCCCCCTCATAAGCACTGGATAGAGGGATAGGTAGAAGGAAGGATGAGTGGATGGATGGATGAGTGGGTGGACAGGTGGATGGATGGACTGGTGAATGGACAATGGGTGAGTACATGGAAGGATGGAGGTGAGTGGATGGATGGATTAGGACCATCAGACCAAGACCTCTGTGTAATGACAGGTCAGCAGTGCTCCCTGCTCAGTGTATATGATAATTGTGCAAGAGCCTGAGATATGGTGTAGATGCAGCTCTACATTTGAACCTGTAGTAACCTGAGGGAAGCTAAGAGGGGGAGCCTGGCCTGACCACCACAGAGGTTCTGATTTGTTCAGCCAGAAGTGCCCCTGGGCCATTTTTTCATTCATCCCTATGACTTCAGAAGGGCCTGACTCTAGACTGCCTTCTGGGAGCTGGGGATGATCCTTTGGGTCTACCAGGGCACCCTGGCCCTTACACTGGGAATTGCAGACACCAGTATAGCTTCCCAGATCTAGGAACCTGACTCCCAGGCTCTAAAGGTCAGCATAAACTCAAACTGGCAACTCTGGAGTCTTCTCTCCTGTGCCAGGGCCCTGAGGACCACGCAGCTGGTGAAAGGACTGGTGCAGGTGTGCAGTACCTGCCTTATTCCCAGCTACCCTTGAGACATCCCAGCTATTCACAGAGACTGGGATGTTCTTTCAGCAACCCCTTGCTCAGTACCTCCATGCCCAGACCCTCAGTGGGGCAGCAGAGCAGGAACAGGGTACTGGTCATCTCAACACAAGGAGGCCAGGATGGAGAGTCAGAAGGGAGCTGAGACTTCCAGCCTCAGCAGCTCAGCATTCATAAGAGAAGAGGAGGAAAATGCCTCAAAGGGAGGCTATTGGGAGACTGAAGGAGAAACTGGGCATCCTGATGCCCACCCCAGGGTCTGAGGATTGCTATGGAGATGCCTACAGAAAGAAGGTTTGCCATGGAAAGAAGGGCCCTCTCCAGAAGTGTGCCTGCTTTGAGCCTCTCAGGCTGCCTGGAGTTGGCTGCTGAGCCAAGCCTTCACAGTCACGCCCTTCTCAATGGCTTAGGAGCTACCTGTCCTCTGGGGAAACACATGGAGCTCCAGGACCGGCTGGTGGGGCTACGGTCTGCTCCCACCACAGAAGCTCCCAAAAGAAACCCGTTGGAGCTTCCCCAGGGAGGACTGTGGCTTCCAAGATGAATTCCAGGCCACCGTAGGGCTGATTGTGAGAAGTGAGGAGGAGAAATCTATTTTTGTGAAACAGACGAAAGACTTTATTGTTGTTATTTTTTGGTAAAATAAAAGAGGTGAACGAAAGCAGTCATTGGTGGGAAATTGTGGTCAGGGTGCCACATTGCTCCTGGCAGACTGTGGGAGGAACTGAATCAGAATGGCAATGGGAAGGACTTTTGTCTTGAGGTCCCAGGCCATGTGCAGGGCTGGCTGGAGTGGTCTGGCTCAGCTGTCTAGGGTGAGGACAGCAAAGTTCTCCTAGACCAGACTACTCCTGCTCAACTCCTGAGGTTCCATGGCCAAGTCCATTGCCATGTAATTCTCAGTTTCCCCATCTATTTCATGATTGAGGAGGGGGCGAAGGACATTGACCGCTGAGAAGCTTCATTCCTCACATGATTCTTCATCCTGTCAGAGTTCCTGGTGTGTCTCAGGTACAGCTGAGTGCCTGACACTTTGCAGTTGATTGAATGCAGTCAGTCTCTGGCTGACTGCCAGGCTCCCTTCCCAAGCCCTGGGATCCCTCGTTCCCTTCGCTGCCCAAAGGTTTCGACGGCCCTCCACTCTGGCTCACCAGGAGAAGCCCACGTCCGGCATTCTGAAACAGTGCTGTTTGCACACCTCCCGGGATAGATCCCTCACTGCCTTCCTCTCAGTCATGGGACAGCTCAGACCATTTAGCAAGGCCATCCTCTGAGCTCATGGGCATTTTGAAATACACCGTAACAGTGAGGGCGGGCTAATCTCAACTGTGTGGCCCCAGGCCTGCACCTGGCAAGAGAGTGTTGGTAAACACAGCAGGAAACCAGTACAAGACTGCTCTGAGAGACTCAGAGAAAAATAGAGGCAGAGAGAAAAAAGAGCGAAGAGAAAGCTGCCACATCAGCAAAGGGCTCATCCTCCAGGATGAACCTAGTAGAAGAGGGTCCTGGGAAAAGATGTGTTGGCAGCAGAGTGGCCGTCAGATTGGGAAGCCAGGCTGGGCTTGGTTTTCCTGTTGGCTCAAGATCCCTAGTGACGGTTGGCAGTGAGCCCTCCTCTCGCCCCAGGGTGGAGCATCCACCCATCTGCTGAGTGAAGGATATTCCACCAGCTTTGGCTCCCAGGAACACAACAGCCTGTTTGAGCCTCCCTGCTGCTTTCACTGTGGATGGGATGTGTGGAGCTGTGGGGTCTGGGGCAAGATGAACCAACATAGCTAGGACTCCACCTGCTCAGGAGGAGTCTTACCTGGCATGAACTGAACTTGGCTACCATGTGGAAGATGTAGCAATTTTTCTAAAATTATTTTTATTTGGAAAGCAGGAAGACAGAGAAAAGATCTTCCATCCACTGGTTGAATCCTTAAAGTACCACCAAGAGCCAGCATTAGGCCCAGCTGGACCTAAAATCCTGGAATCCAATGCAAGTTTCCTATGTTGGGGAGGAGAGGGAGAAACCCATTCACCACTGTTGGCCGGAAGGGACTCACACCCAGATGGGGTGCAGTGTACCCAATCAGTGTCCTAACTCCTGTACCAAATGCCACCCCAGATACAATCATTTTAAGACATATGTTTGGAACACAGGCCTGAGGACTTGAAGGCGGCGGGGGGTGGGGGGTGGGGTGGGGGGGGGAAAGGTGATGGGCAGGAGAAACCTTCAGGTAGGGCTGAGGGACTCTGGAAGGGGCTGGACACAGAAGCATGGGGAAAAACCTTCACCCTCATACAGCTGTCACCAGAGTCCTTAAGGCTGCCAGTTGCGTCCAAGCTGGCATCACACAGAGGCTGAACCCGGCAAGGAAAGGGAAGCAAGTGTGTGTTGGGTGAGGGTGGGACGTGCAAGGGACCCTTTAACCAGCGTAGCTCACCAGATCCTCAAAAAAATCCTACAACAGCAGGGAAAGATGTTTACTGCCCTGTTACAAACCTGTAGTAAACCCCTCAGCACCCGCAGCCTAAGAGAAGAAAGTAGGGGCAGTGAAGGCTTGAGCTGTTTTTCGCCAAGAAATGAACTTTCCTTTTTTTCTTCGTTTATGCTGAACTACTGGAGGGAGCAACTGGAGGGACTATTACAATGAAGTTATAGGTACTTAGACGTTGAAAAGAAAGTTTACAGAATTAGCCCCCGTTTTATAAAAGACCAGACGCATGTCTCCGGACGTAAAACAAGTCTGAAAATTTCTTCCTGGCGTGCAGTAGCACGCTACAAACGCTAATTACACCCGCCACAGCTGGCGCTCCTCAGACCCGACGCTTCCCCGGCTCCACCCGCAGAAGAACGCCTCCCCAGGCGCTAAGCACCGCCCCTCTGCGGCCACGCCTGCGCAGTCGCCTCAGTTCCGCCCGCCCCAACTCCGGGAGGCCGTCAGGGCGCAGGCGCGGCCCCGCCCCCACGCGCCTCTGGAGGCGGGCCCGCCCCCGACCGGGTCTAGCACCGCCTCTTCCGCGTTCACGGCGGAGAGATCTGCAGGTGGGGCGCGCGCGACCGGTCCGCGGAGAGTCAGCCGAGGTAAAGGCGAGAAGGCGCGGTTTCTCCGTGCTGCAGGGCCGGGGGTCAGCGTGAGTCCCTGTGTCCGGGAGGGGGCACTTAGGGCTGTGTGAGCCGCCGAGGGGGACGTCCTTTTGGAACTGACCTCGGGGCTCTGAGGACTTGTGCGGACTCCGACGCCCAGTGTGGACACAGTGTGTCCTGGTGGGGCGCAGCCTGTGCCAGGAGGCTTGGGCTGCGGGTGTGACAAGTCAGGGTTCGCTCGGGGTCGGAGCAGGGAGCTCTGTGTGACGGGGTTGAACCTAAGTCCCTCTCCTTGGAATTAGGACTGAGTTCGAGGCTCAACCAGCCCAGCGTGTTGACTAGTTTCTCAAGTTAGGAATTTATAAAATCTGTGAACTGCGTTACACTTAGCTCTTTATTTTGCAGTGTTAAAAAACTGCTGCCCTGGACAGGTGGCTGGTTGTCCCGTGGGAGAGAGGCGATAGTGGCACCTGCAGTCTCTCCTTAGAGAGCCTGTGGGTTGCCTGTCGGAGAGGGTCATAGCTGATGCGAGGCCAGGAACAAAGTGTGGTTGGAAACTCTTGGGCTTTGAGGGTCAGCTGCATTCCTCAAACCTTCGTGAAAGATGAAGGCTGGATACAATGATTTGTAAGTGACCAGCTGTGACACCTGTTGTGCAATCAGTACTGAATGCAAAGGTACTGTGATTCTGAGATGTGGGATGTTGCAGACTGGGTTGCTCTGGCAAGATCCTAGGTACGGAGTTGTTAGGGTCTAGGCCTTAGAGAAATGACCTTGCAGGATGGTCCTTGGCACCCTGCCTGTGTGCCCAGCTTTTGCTGGGCATTTGGTGCCTAGGGTCTCATTGGTTCTCCAGCCACCAGTAGGGGACTTTCAGCCCACTAACCTTAGCTTCAGTCCTTCCAGTGAGGGTTGGGCTGCAGGTGTCATGGAGACCTGGGGTTGGGTTTCTGTGTGGGCTTGAGCCAACTGGAGACTTGGTACCTCTCCTCCCAGTTGCTTCCACCTGCTCTCACTCTCAACATCCAAAGAGCTGACTGGGCTTCTTGTTTTATCTGGGCATTTCATTACCCTAGTCCTTTAGCAGATTTTGAGGGTTAGAGAGACCTGGCAACTCAAGATTGCATGATGCCAACCCACGGGAGAGAGAAGCTCCATGCAGAATTGTGGCAGAGTCCAGGACATTATTATGCAATGTATGTGGCCTCATGTCTCGTGGTCCTTGGGGAATGTAGTAACTGGCTTCTGTGAACTCATGGACATGTTCCTCCATAATAGGTTTCCAGAGCTTTCTCCTGCCCGGTTTTCCCAGACCTGCACCTGTGCCCCAGACAAACTAGTCTTGGTTCCTCACATATTCCTTGCCTGTTCCTGTGCCAGGCTTTGTGTGTATTCCTGTTTCCTGGAATTCCCTCCTCCTCATCTCTCAAGGCCCTATCTGCTGTGGCCTCCTTGTTCAAGTTTTTGGATCCCTTGCCTGGCTCCTGGAACGGAGGCCGAACTTCCAGCGTAGTTGTCAGCATGGCCTGCCTCGGGCCGTGTCTCCCCGTGTAGGCTCTGAGTGCTTGGATGGCAAGGGACTGTGTCTGTCTCTCCCTTCTCTACCTGACACTGCCCTGGCACATACCAGGCCTCTGCAGTGTTTGTGGTTAAGTGAGTCAGTGATTTTGTATTTTGGTCCTTGTTTTTATGAACTGACAGGTTCCCAGTGGAGCGCTGTGTTAGAAAAACCCTAGGTTGCATTGGTGATGCCCTCGAAACAAGAAACATCAAAAGCAAGAAAGCACAGGAATGTGCACAAGCCAGGGTTCGTGCTTAGTGCTGTTTTCAGGCTCTTTCCTTGCCTTCTCTGTAAGTTTGTTGGGAGGGGACTAGTGCCCTGTTGAGGGAGTTGCACTGATATGATATAGTTCTGGTAGGGGACAGCCCACAGTTGGCTGACTAATCAGTTGCTCTGCCTTTGGCCTTGGGAAACAGTAGTCTCTGCTATCTGGAGACCAGCAGCTGCAAATACATATTTTTCCTTGCCAGCAGCCTCAGCATATATAAGAGAAGGTTCTTTGTTGATCAAAAAAACATATACATTGTTCAAGGCAGAAGGAATATGGGAACTGTCTGCTGCTTCTGCTTTTATTAGATGGAGAAAGTTCCGGAGAAGGGAAAGAATTTAAGGTTACACAAGGAGTAAGTCAGTGGTAGAGGTGGTTCTACAAGCAAAACCCCTGGCTGTGTTGTTCCTTTCTAGGCAACTATGTTGTTAATATAACATCCAGCAGGTATTGAGTGCTTCCTGTGTACTGGATGCTGTTTTCAGCAATTTGAACTATTTTATAGACTCGGAAACTGACACAAATAGAGATCCTGATTGATTCTCTGATTTCACAACGCTCGTTGTTAGTGTGGTTTTAACAGCAGTTGTCCCAACAGTGGGTGAGGAGCAGTGGAGAGCAACAGTTCTCCTAAGGGATTGCTCCTGAATGTCCACCCCGAGAGCAGGTACATCCTGCTGGACGCTGTGGACATGTCCTGGAAAAAATCCACATCATCTGGGAAAATGGGTGAAGTGCAGAGACCAGCCCATGGGAGTATGCCTGGGGCTCAGTTTGGAATATTAATATACTTCTATCAAAGTCAGACAGTAAATACATAGTTTTAGAAAAAGCGGAGTCCAGTGTCTTTTCTCTAAAGATTCCGTGAAAGGGCAGTCAGTTCAGTAAGCACCTGTTGCGGCCTTTCTAAGCTCGTGACCCTGGTATTGAGAAATAGTCGCAACCGGCTTCCTGCCCTCCTGTAAGTGATTGTCTTCCCAGAGCCCTCTCCCTCCAGTCTCGTTGGGAACATAAGCACGTAAGTCAGCGCAGTCGCACTGACCGTGGTGAGTGTAGTAAGGAGTATAAACAAAGTGGGAGTTGGGAGAAGATGAAATCAATCCTGACATGATCAGGCAGTTCCTGAGGATGGAGAATTTCAGGCTGGACCTTGGCAGGGGTCGTTCCTGGGAGAACGAGCAGCTTGAGCAACAGTCTAGAGATGCAAATGTGCAACAAAGTGTGTGTGTGTGTGTGTGTGTGTGTGTGCGCGCGCGCGCGCGAGGGAGTAGGCGAAAGGAGAACTATGGGAAGAACAGGAACATTTGCAAAGCATCCACTTCTCTGTGTGGCTTGCAGTATGCCATACGCTTTATACACACTTTATACAATTTTAATCCTCACAGCCCCTGCACTACACGAGTATCATCTCCAATTTACAGGTGAAAGGTCAGTTGTGCAGCTTCATTTAGACCCAGGAGATTCAAATTCCATTCCCGACCCCACCCCTACCCCAGCTCCATGCCGTGACCAGGGCTCTGTTTCTGAGAACTAATGGTGACAGACCTTCCCCGGTGGGGAAACAGATGAGAAGACACACAGTGAACCACTGACAGGGTGTGAAAAGCTTGTTGGGTTTACTAGGTGAGGAAGTCAGGAGCTGTCACTGTCCTGTAAACCAGTGCATTGTATTTCCTGCTAGTAGAGACTTAGGCACAAGTTCGCATGTGAGATTGATTGTTCTTTATATAAGCAGTGTTCTGGGGAGGCAACCCATTTGGTGCAGCCTCTGCTTTTGTTTCCTGGCCCTCATACTGAAGAATTGCAATGCAGGGAAGAAAACTACACCTGCAGTCAAAAGGCTGGCATTCCAGGTATGGCTTTGTTCATTCTCCTTGGCAGAGTCCTCTGTCCCTGCTTTCTTCCCTGGAATACAAGGAGTAGTTTGATTTACTTCTGCAGGTTTATCTCTTGCTAATCGCATATCCTGCTTTGCTTGCCCCTGGTTTGGGAAGTGACTAAGAATATGAACTTGGATTCAGAGAGGGCAGGGTTTAAATCCCAGTGTACTTATTAGGGTCATTTCATATCTTACCCTGGCATTGTTGCCCTCTGTTTCTTCTCACAGTTCTATCAGAAATCTTAAATACCAGAAGATTCCATCCCAGGATTGCAAAGCGGGAAGTGATCAAGGGTGCGTGTAGGAGAAAGGGCAGTACAAGGTCAGGGGCTTGGTCTTGCCTGTTTTCACCCCCCTGCCTCCATGGTGAGTGGGAGGGGGACTACACACACTCTGAAGTTTGCACAACCTTCTGCCCAAGGGCGCAGCCAGAGCCCTCCAGTCCTCAACAGAGACAGAGGTGCTTAGCTTAGGTCTTTCTCTCCAGCTTCAGAGCCTCTATCCTCATCTTAAGCCATGGTTTACCATTCTATTTTCCATGACTATAGAGAAGTTAACTGCTGATTATAAAGGGAGGATGAGTGCAAGAGTTTCTTGTGTCTATACTTAAAGCCAGAATCCAGTTAGGGCCTCATCTCCTATCCAGGCTAATAAGCCTGCGTTTCTTTGACCGCACTCTTTTTTTTTTTTTTTTTTAAGATTTATTTATTATTAGAAAGGCAGATTTACAGAGAAGGAGAGTCAGAAAGATCTTCCATCTGTTGGTTTACTCCCCACATGGCTGCAATGATCAAAGCTGAGCTGATTCGGAACCAGGGGTTTCTTCTGTGTCTCTACCTGCATGCAGGCTCCCAAAGCTTTGGGCCGTCCTCGACTGCTTTCCCAGGCCACAAGCAGGGAGCTGGACGGGAAGTAGAGCAGCCAGGACATGAAGTGGTGTGCATATGAGATCCTGGTGCTTGCAGGCTGAGGATTTAACCACCGAGCCATCGCACTGGACCCTGACCCTACTCTTAAAGCCTGTTTTCCATTGTTTATATCACATTGGTTATGCTGCTTTTCTTTTTTCTTTCTTTTTTTTTTTTTTTTTTTTTTGCTTCCTGGCAATGAGCAGACTGTGTTCAATCTGCTAAGGCAAGACCAGCTAACGCAGTGTAAGGGGATTTTCATTCATTCGTTCCTCAGCAGTGGCCTGTGCCAGGAGCCAGAGGTGAATCAGATGGTCTCAGCACTATCTCCAGCACAATCCAGGGAAAGATGTCTGGTGAAATGTTACAGCTGCTGTCATG